CACCCCGGTCGTAGGTAACTCGCGCTTAGGTACACGTTGTAGATCCCTCTGAGGTAGCGCCTTCTGCATAGGCAACCACGTTTACATCTCGCCGTGCCAGGCGGGTATCAACGCCTTGCACTGTCCTCTAGAGCCTCCCCCCCCCCCTTACCCCCTCTTAGCACGTCCCCGGCTTGCCGCGGGGACGTGATCATCTGGCTTCGTCCTCACCACCACTCGATCGTGTTGAAGGACAAGCACGGCACGCAGCTGGCCATAGGAGTCGCCCCAACCTCGGGGTAGGCAGCCGTCAAAGGAGCTGCCCGCCGCCGTCGCGTGCACCGGAGCGAGCATGCCCCGGAACGGGCGGTGGACCCGGCGGCCAACGCGAAGGCCTCGTCGGGGAGCTCCCAGTCCCCAGCCACTGCGATGGCCGAGGGGTACCTCACTTCGTCCAATCAGTGTACGGTCTTGAAACTAATCGTTTTCCAATCACGTACCAGTCATTTTCCAATCATTCCAATCACTCCGATCATTTCCACAGATCAATCAAATTTTCTCGAAAACAAAGTACGTGTACTGGCATTTTCCTGTGAATTTCCTTGCATTTTAAATTGTTTCAACCCTCACAGAAGAAGAAATAACACGCTAAAAAAATATTTTTAATTTACAATGCCGAAGAAGGCCATATATATCAAAATTATGTGAAAGGGATGTTGTTTTCACCATTTGCAGTGTACATACACTATTTTTGACTCAATGTCTTCAGTCTGCACCCCACATACCTCACAAAATTGTTTTTTTTGGAATTTCTTTCCGTTTCCTCTAGTCACAGACATTTCCTATTCCAATCAGTTTCTATTCAAATTCCAATCAGTCCAATCAATTTCCAATCAATCTCCAATCATTTGACTCCAGTCAGTGTACACCTACTAGAGGAGTGAGGTACCCCTCGGCGATGGCCGCCGCGGCCCACCTCATCGGGGACGGTGAGGGTTGGCGGCCGAGCGTACCGCGAGTCGTCGCGGAGCTCCAGGACGCCGGGTGGGCGCACTCCGGCCCCAGAGCGGCCATGCCGCGATGTGCGCCGTAGCCCAGCTCAGCAGGGGCGTTGCGCGGGCGGCGCGCCCCGCGTCGACGCGGACCTCGCGGACCGCCGCCGCCCCGTGCACCGGGGCCAGCAGGCCGTCCCGGCCATCCGACGTCACCGAGGTGACGGGGACTGACAGCACGACGGACGGTGGACCCGGCGGCCAACCCAAAGGTTCCTGGACGATGTCGGAGGGGGGGGGGGGCAGTCTGGGCGGGCATGCTGCAGTGCCCAGCCACCGCGTCGAACCACCTCAGCATGGGCGGCGCCAGGTAGGCGCACTCCGGCCCCCGAGTGGCCGGAACTATTATTGTGATCCAACAGCAACAAAAATCAAAATTCGCTCTCTATCACATGCCACGCAGACCAAACTGTGTTTATTAATTGTCGCCTATATTCTTGGGTTGCTAGAATAATTTTTAATTGTCCTCCAATATTTGAATTTTAATGTTGCCGGTTGCCATACCTGAAAGCAGACTGACCGAGCAGAAACACTCTGCTGACCTCTCGGCGGACAATGTAAACGAAACATTCGGGCGGCGCAGTGGCACCGAGCGGGCGCGGGGACGGGCTGTCGTGGGATCGAATCCCACCGGCCGCCCCGTAATATTTTAAGTCCAAAACTCGCGCGGGAAATTTCATTTTCATGTTGTGGCCAAAAGATGGGATTTCTTCAACTCAAGAGTTGGCAGTACAAGCCGCCGCTCCGAGCTAAGCGACTCGGCCTTAGTATGGGAGTTGGCTGGGGTTGGAAAGTGAGGTATTTGACACAGCAACAGGGCTCGGACGCTCTCTTCGAAAACGAAATGGAAAACAAAAGAGGAGTGCAGTGTACCAACTGTTGATTGAGAAGTATGAAAAGTGATTATCGAAATCGGCAACCTACTTCTGCTTCATTCATATTTTTTAAAAGTAGATATTGATAGTGATAGACAAAGAAAATTACAAAGTTAGGAAAGACAAACTTTTATCTTTCTACAAGACTACAATATTTTGATGTGTGAGTGTGTGGTAGTGCCGCTACCCCCACTTCTGACACAGGGAATGCCAAACACCTTTCACAAGGACCGTCACCAAACGCCC